GTGAGCTTGTACGCGCGATAATACGGGATGTTCGAGGTCTATCGGGTAATTTGTGGCTTTCGTACAGTAACGAAACAGTAGGAATAACAAAGAGTACGCGGTTCCGTTTGGACAGGGAGAACCTACTTTCGCACACGAGAATTGCCTTTCCTTTGTTTGATCTCCCTCTCCCCGTTTCCAGAAGTGGGAATTACTGGTAATAATTCCAAGAAAAGCTCGACTATTTGTGGAAAGAATAATTCGCCCAAGGAAAGAAAGTCTTCCTCAAGAATTTCGCTGGGAATTGTCTGGCAGGAAGATCACAGACTGCGAATGGGAAGCTGATTTAATGACAAAAGTTCGGGAAGGTTTGATCCGGGACAAGAAGTCTCGAGGAATCTGCTTTTTTCCTCGGTTTGTTGTCTTATGCTCCAACTTTTTCGACGTCCCCGTGGATTAACGATTAATTGGAACGATATTGGAATCCATCGTCACGCGGAATCCGCAAATATCGATATCAATCTGTGGACAGATTTACACCCCTTACAGGTGAAAGTATCTAGGTACCTAACATCGAATATATCCAATTGATTCGAAGCATTATCATCCAACAAAATGATGTTTATAGTACAACGATGACGAAAGAATAAAGGATATTGCAAAGTTCTTTCCCACGAAGTTCCGTTCGCCAAAGAGGACTTCCACATTAGGCGAACGTTGAAATGCAAGACAATGGTCGCTAAATCGTGTGAATTCGATTCCCTATGGTCATCCCGAATAAACGGCACCATAATTCACTGCTCGTTTGCGCGAGAATGGACGGTGGAAACAAGGTAGCCGTTTTCGGTTCGCAGCCGTGCCCGCGATCGATTTCGAAACACGTTTCTAAGGCGCTGTCATTTTCTAGTCGTGCCCAGGCGACGTTGAAATTGTCTAACGATCGATAGCCGCGGCGAAGAACCGCGAGCCTCGCGAGTTTCCTTCGACGATCAACCGTGACTAATTGCATCCGGACGGCTGATCGTATTAATATGAAGTTCCCGCGGTGCGAAACGTCTTCCGGAAAAGTGTTCCACGCGAGAGCGATTCGTCGCACGCATTGGCGAATTTTCGACGTCGCGTCGGGAACCGGCGAAAAAGGAATTGGTAATTTAATTAACTATATTAAGTAGCTTTCAGAGTTCATGAATATTCGATTCCCCACGGACGTCGAGCAGGGGACGGCCGATTACGAATTCCGTGATTTAAATTCGGGCTGTGTAAAGTTGCCGGCATTCCAACTTGCGATCAGCCATTTTGTGACGGGGTGGTTACGCGTGTATACATATATATGTGTGTGTATGTGTGTGTATGTATATTTTCGAGTGGAAATATTTTCCCAATGTTTCCCCCGGTGGTACTTCCGGAAATTACCATACAAAGTTTGTTTCTACACACGGCAGCCTTCTATTTAATTACTGCAGTTTGATTAGCGAGAATTTTTTAATGTGATTAACTGAAAAGTACTTGTACACATTTTCGAATGACGCTACGTAAATATCCGTGCAGCCGTTTATCCGTAGTTCTCTCGTTACTCGAGTTCGTTCCACTGTACACGAATATTGAATTACGCAACGCCAGATTTCCCGTAACGCGGTAAACACGATCCCCAAACTACTCTCCTGATTTCCGAAAAAACCCCTGTTATCTTTCGAATAATCGGGAAATCCCGGCTCTAAATTGAACAAGCTCTGCGACACGAAAAACCGCGACGAACCAACTGGATCCGGTTGCGGAAAAACGCCGGGGGGTTGACGGACCACTCAAAGTGTCAACAGTGGCCGCGGGGGTTGCTCGGGAGCGTGAAGAAGTGGCCGAGGAACGTTCCGCGCGGCGCAGGGGCACGTAGAGCCGCGGTAACAAATTACCCTGGGGGCGTTGCGGGACGGAATTCCGCGGAAAAAGGATTTCGAAAGTTGTACGCCGCGAGTTGCGCGGGGAATTTCATCAGAAATCCCGCGAATGGGAATCGCGTTTCCGTGGGACGCGGAAAATTGCGGGTATCGTCGTCGGGTTCGTTCGGCCCGCGGTCTGACGGAGGCGAGTGCCTCGCAACGGAAACTGGTCCGGGGGGCCGGGGCAACGGGGAACGGGGAAGAAAAACGCAATTATCGTGAAAGCGAACGAAGCGTTATTGGTAAGTGGTTCAACAACAACGGCAACAACGGTTTCCCCGGAGGGCGTAAAAGGTCGGGCGGGCTCAGGGACGCGCGCGTGTTTTCCATTCCGCTCGTTCAAGCCGGCGAGTGGCTCGGCTGAAGGGAGAGAGAGAGAGGAGAATGAGGAGGAACGCGGAGAACGAGAGAGAAAAAAATGGCGACGCGAGGGAGCACCGCGAGGAGGAGGCGGAGGAGGCGGAGGAGGAGGATCGCGAAAACGGAGAAAAGATAAGAGGGTCAAGAGTCCCCGGGTTCTGTAGCGGCTCACCTACGCGCGGAGTTATGACGTTACAGCAATCGCGAAATTGGGGCAGCTGCCGCTGAAAGCGCCGCTTCATGAATTTAGAGTGGCCCCGGCCGTGTATCAAGACGGAGAGACTTTCCGCATCTTGGGAACAATGCTAACTGCGACCAGGGCCTAGCCCCGAACGGTTTTGTTCCGATTTACAGGTGCGCGAGTGGCTGACCACTCGAGCTGAGAGGGAACGGAAACATTCTATTGTCTCGGTTAACCTTTGCCGCGCGGTGCTTGGGTCGATTCGGACCCGATCAGGAGGTTCAATTCAAGGTATTGTCTGGTGGCCGTTTAAGCCTTTGCGAGGGCTAAGTTAAGGGCAAATGATTTTATTACTTGAACAGCAGAAAGTCAGGTAGTTTCCTTTTTTTGTATTGATTAAGCTGTTGGTTTATCATTTAGCTTCATCTGTTGAAGGTTTTGTATATTTCGAACAACCTTCGTCTGGGTTAATTTAGCCAGTGAGATATTAACCCTTTGGAGAGATGACTCTCGGTCATAGTTTCATATAGTAAAATTATCAAGTTTAATATTAAAGTATCAAACTTTCTACAACTCATCGCTACACGGAATGTAGAAATAAAATAGCTTCGTTCCTTAGTCTGGTAAATGGATTTTAATGACGAAATATGTAAAACAGTTAGGATATTCAGTTGCATTGAATAATGAGAGGTCCTAACACATTCCGTGCCGCCGAAAATTGTATATCTTCCTCGTGAAGTGCACTGGCTTTTTAACTGACGGATCAGGTTACATTCAAGCTTTTGCTGACGTTTCCTTACAAAAATTCCGAGTGTACCGTAAATGGCACACGTGCCACGGAACGAGTTTAATATCGTGTGTAAAACTTCATAATTTTCGTATATCAAATCGAATGGTCACTCTCGAGTGCAAACGGTTAATAACGAAATAAGAGTTTCTAATTACCTGAGCGCGATGAAGGTAACGGTGAAAAAAGTCGGAATATTCAGTTGCATCGAACGATGCGAGAGGTCCTTTTCCATAACCGGAAATGGATTCACCGCAGGACGATAGCTCGCCGCAAGAGCAGCACACGCGTGATGCACGAGGCACGTAATCGTATCCGAATCGCGTTGTTTGCCCAGGGCGTGGATCGCAGCCGTAGAAAGCGAGCACGCGATCATCGGCGCGCAAGAAAATAAACAATCGCATCGATAAGTTGCATCGGACGCGGCGATCCAGTTACGTGAAAGTAAAAGTGTCTGCGTTGCGTGCACTCCCCGGCCGCCTAATGAACCGCGACTATAAACGTACGTTTTATGGCCGCGCTTAAAGAAGAAGGTCGATACCGGTCGTCGTTTCACCGGTTAATTCAATCTGTTCCGTTCCCACTCCGCCCGTTAAAACCATGGAAAAAAAGAAAATGGCCGAATCCGCTTTTTAACTGAATTACGAGATAAGTAACGACTACGGCGAGTATCGCGAGCGAACGATACATCGAAAAGCAGCGTGTCGTGTCGTTTCGTTTCGTTTCATACGGCGACGTTTTTACGACGCGTTCAACCTTCCAGGCTGGTTTCACCCGAATCGTATCCTTGGAAACGTTCGATCGAATTCCCTTTTAAAAGCTTACGTTTCATTCTGCCTCTCTTTTCCACCTTTTTTCAACGTGCCAACTCGACACCCCCGAACGAACCGAATGGACACGTCGCTCGATGTGTCACCGATAAATGCTTGCCTGTCAATCGACGTATTCCGATGGAAAACGCCTTCCCGTCGAATCGTCCGGATCTTCTTCTAATATTCTACTTCACTGTCGACCAGTCGACCACGGGAATGATATATTGTTGCCGGTACACCACGAACCTTCGAGCACGTCTGCACTTGTGCGTGACACTTTGAAAAAGTACGTTAGGAGATTGGAACTTCTAGTTAGATAATTTGACTTTCCAGGGTTTCGTAGTTCGTGGTGTAAGTGCACTTCCGGTGTATAGTCGTTGACTTTTATATAAGTCGTATATGATATCATTCTTAATATTAATATTACATTATTAAATACTATCAAGGACTGTTACTTATACGGTAAACCGAAGAAATAAATTGTCAACTGTTTCTCACAGTTGACAAGTAAACTTGTGAAAACGTGGGAAAATGTAAGACACGAAACGTCACGAGTGACATTTCCTAGTTGACTTCCTGTCTGTTAGAGGAATACTTCAGGACCATTCAAATGAAGCGTACGTTTCATTTGAATTATGAATAGTATTAAAATTCAACCGAATGATCTCGCTGGTATCATTATTATAAAGAGACAGTTTAAAATACCAACAGTACATAAACAGTCGATGGACCCTATACTCCTTTCTCAGTAAGCAATGTAGCGTGCATAGTTCATGGCTACTTTCGGCCAAGAATCCACTATTTTATTCAAGCATATTTTTACTTCTGCCGAAAGAAGTTTAACTCGATGCCCAGAATGCACTCGCATGGGAATCGAGGCACACTGGATCAGAAGGATACCAGTGAGATACGCATCGCCAGAGGGTAAATACTAAAAGAGGACTCACCTCCTCGGCGAACTCGAAATCACCGTCGAACTTCCTCTTGCATCTGGCCCCGGTGACAAGAACGAAGAACACCGTGGCCACGAGCACCCACGAAAATCGCATGGCTATTCGTCTAGCGAGCGGGACTGGGGACGGCGCACCGTCGATACACACCGTTAACCGAGAACGCGAAACGGACTCGCGGGTATCACCCGCGGAACAACCGGGACACGTGCACGAACGGGCACCGTTTAACACGGCCGAACGGAACAAAGGACCGTGCTCGTTCCTCTCTTCGGCGGCTCGGTGTGCGGAACGTCGAAAGGCGCGCACGCAGAACTACCCGGTGTGCAATGGAACGCGTCCTCGCAGGCGGAAACGTTCAGCTCGACGGACGAACGAGTTGTGAGTGCGCGAACGGAGCCGAGACGACGCCGCACTACCACAGACGCGTGGCCGCCCATTGGTCGGATTCCGGCGAATGATGAGGAGGGACGCTAGGGGCCGCCGGGCGGCCAGGTACATAAACTGGACTACCCTTCTCTGTCTGTTGCTTTCGCCACGGGTTACGTCTACCTTCGACGACTCTCTCCGGTAGCGAGATTCGCGCGAGCGCGTGCTACGCTGCGCCAGTCAATACCTCCACCTGCCTCGGTTCGCCTACCCGGTGTTGCCAGTGAGTTGACGAGAGACGGACCGAGACCGGCACTGCGCGAGGAAAGAGGAGCAACAGAGAGGGAGCGACAAAAAGGGCGCGGGGAATTCGGCAGGAGGGCACGCCAGAGAAGGAATCCAGTCTCGCACCGGATACTCGCGCAGAAAGCGGACCGACCTGGCAAGATTTCCTTTTCTTTTCTTTTCTTTTCTTTTCTTCTCTTTTCCTTTCTTTCCTTTTCTTTAATATTCATTTTCCACTGGTTCCTCTTATGCCTTCTTCTTGACTGTCCCGGATTAGAGAACCATGACAAATGATCCTAAGCCGGTTACCGGAGTACCAGGGTAAAATCGACTGTATCGTTCCACTTAATTTCTCCGATTCCCATTTCGTAATTTTACCACTAGATGTCGTTTATATTCGGTAATTACAATTAATGAGGTATAAGACTTCAAAGACACGGTATAATCAACTCTGCGCTAATGGCCTCGTAACCGCTTCTAGAACTGGTTGACACGAATTCGTCGTTTATCAGGGATCGACACACGCGCCGGCGTGTATCGTATCTGCAGTCGAATCGCGATTAATTAGGGCTACCCGGGGAATTTTATCGCGGGCAAAAAGAACCTGAGGAATTCCGCGGGGCGCTGTAGGAAGAAGCTAGGAAAGTACCTTTTTTCCGCTGCAACCTGGGCCATGGGATTACCGGTCTCGTGATAAATCACCCGGCATGAAAATCAATCTCGTTCTTTTGTTCTGCCACTGAATCGCGTTCAATTATATATTACAAACAGTCGCGGAAGGCGATTTGAAGGTTAACGAGCGCTTCGCGGCGTGTCCATTGAACGTTATGATTTATTTAGCGTACACTAGGTTTCGAGAGTGACGTCAATCGATGATCGATCAACGACATTTTCGATTGGAAGAAGTCGAATATATTTTCGAGGGAACATCGGCGAACTTCCCGACCACTGTGACGGAAACGATCAAAAATTTATACATCGGGATTCTGCGGAACGATCGTGGACGATTTAAACACGATTTCACGGAAATTAAATCGTCGCCATTATCGGGGTCTTGAGGGAATTTAATGTTATCGCCGGTGGCTACGGGATCGGAGTGGTAACGGGATATACACAGGTACGTACGTAAGCTGCGATAATTTAAAAGTTAAGAGTGAAGATTTTAGTAGCGCGGTATACATAGAGACAACCGGGCCAACCGCTTTCCGCCATTCCTTGAACTACCTCGTTCTTCCTTTGAAGATACTTAGAGACATAAAAGCAGGCCTGTATTTCGAGTGGAAAGTTGTCGTGGCAATTTGTCTTACTATTTTCTTGCCGCGCGTACCTACACTGTATCTTAGCCCCCCAGAGCTATTTTCCTCGGTGGGAAGTGCACAGGACACTTCCCGGGGGAGTAGAAACCAGGAAGACAGCGTCGCGCAGACATTTCCTCCGCAAAATAGATCGCATCAAGGGAAAGACAAAGAGGGTAGGGGAACGTTACCGAGCTAACACGAAGACGCCGGCTACCCCCATATTTGTTAAATATTACCTAGCCGGCTTTCTATGGCTGCGTCGTGGCATCGCTGGTTAACCGCGAACTAATAAGCCGAAATCCGGGATTCGTAAAGTCCGATTAACACGATCTCGTAGAGCAAACTACACAAGACGGAAAAAATATTAAATCATTCGATTGGATTCTATTATTATTATTGCGCGTTCATCTAGCTGAATGTCACCGCATTTAACACTATTTATAATATACAAATGTTTCAAACAATCGTCATTTAATCGAGTGGAAAGAACATTGTTATATGCGATCCTTAATTGTTCCTGAGATAAAAACTTTTTAGTATTATCACACACTTCCGACAGGAATTTCACTGTGACGTTTATGGGCCGTTAGTGGTCGCTAATATCGATTAACGAAGTTCCTGAATTTTTTGTTAACGTGGGCTCCAATAAACTTTCTTCCAAGCGCGTCAGACCACGCTCGGTAATTTATCGCGCCAAAGGAGCGATTCGTCTCCTTGGTCCGGTTATGTGTGTGCCCTGCAGCACGATGTATATGCCTCATGCCCCGTACGTTTAAGCACACTACCAAGCAGACACGAATGTCTCCTCGGAGACCGCTTCCTGCAGAATGTGGTGGCTAAACACGCACCTTCGACAGGATCGCGAAGTATAAATGATCTCCTGGTTGCAATTAAAGTAACCCTTTACCTACCCGTGGTTGTAACTCTCGAAATTTAAAATATTTAAACTCCAGCCACCAAAGAAATAAGTATAAATGTTTCACTTGTCTGCAAATAACGTTCAGACTAATATATTCAAGCTGACACGATAAAAACGTTGATATTAGTGAATTTGTAATATTAATTAAGGTATTCAAGAGGGATGGTTTCAGGACTATAATAAAACTTTCACTGTTAAACTCACAAAGTACTTTATTGAGTGCATAGTATCTGCAGCATAACAAATACTGAGGGAAAAAAAATGTAAGGATTCATTTGCTCGTACTACCCATCTCTTTGATGCTTCCGCAAGAGTATTATTACAACCTATGACAAGAATATATTTATTCTAACACCCCCGTCCTCCGTAAAGATTCTATAAATCGTTAAATAATAGTGTACATGAGCTTTGTACAGGTAGTCTAATTCGATGTTCACAGACTACTATATTAAAATAAATACTAAACTAACCGTACAACTGAACTGTCATGTTTCGCCGCGTGCAAGATAGATAAATATCGTTTGCTTCGGTGCTAGAAGCATTACGGTTGCGGCATTTAAATATCATCATCTAGAGCTAACAGTGGATGTATCAAAAACCTTAAAACGAAGCACCTCGTGGGAATGGTACACGGTATATGGTATTCCGTTACGTGCCAGCAAAACAAGCAAGAATGCGCGGACATCTATCGATGAGAAAATATCTTCTCCTATTCTCATTTCAGATGTACGTAATGCCATTTATCAACTGAAATCAGATATCACAGTGTTTTCACGATCGTTTAATATAAAAAAAAAGACAACAAGAAGTACAAAGTCGAGTGCAGTGATCAAAGAAACATTCGAACACACAACTCTTATCAGTTAATCTTATGAACGTGCTCATAATTTATTCTGCAGTTGCGGAATGTAGTGACATTTGTCAACTGCAAGGAAATAGAGTTGTAAGTGTTTAATTTCGTTACGTTAACTATCATTTCAACTTACCAATTGGATCCGTGGCTTGTGGCTCTAACGGTTCCGGAGCTTTCTCTAATATTTCCTCGGCGGCTTCTGCGTTGATTTTGAAGGGGCTACCGGCGACTGTTAAGTTCGTGCTGAAGACACATTTAGCCTTTAGAACTAAATATTAATGTAGAGATATTCGAACGAAATAATCAGAACTCCACCAACCATGCAATGCCACCCGCAGGTGCTTCACGTTTAATAAGATTCTGCCAGTGCTGATGCACTTCCTCCACTATATGTAACGCAAAGTCTTTTGGCTTTGCCTCGCCGTTAAATGCAAACTGATTCTCCGGCTTTCCATCTGGTATTTTATAAATTTTAAACCATTCAATAGTCGCTTTCATCAGTCCGGGGTAATGTTTTTCAATATCCGCTACATCTGCAAAAAAATGGTTGCCTATAGATACGAGTACTGCATATAATCATTTAATCTAAATTGCATGAGTCATTCGTTAGATCACCGTCGTGATTAGCGTGTCGTTTTCAGAACGCGGAAGTCGATTGAGTAATACCGAAAAATTCTCGTACACTCGCTACTTATTCGATAATTGACCTATTATTCTCAGTTCACTAGTTCATGTAGTCGCTTACGTAACGCGTCTTTACGCTCTCGGTCTTTCGACATGTGATCAACTCTTAAATTATATACGATGGTAGGAACAAGAAACGTTTCGATAGTATAAAGGAAATTTTTACCATTCATCTGTTCAGCTAATGGATCGTTAACGTCGATAACTATGATTTTCCAGTCGGTTTCACCTAAAACCATAAATAATTAATGATACAGGAAACATTAATGTTAACAAGTATATGTGTTTAGATGTGCTACACACCTTCATCAATGAGTGCAACAGCACCAAGAACTTTTACTTTCAAAACTTCACCCCTTTTGGCAACCTATTGAACAAATTTTCAATTATACGGAAAATAACCACATACTATTGAAGGAAAAATTATTTACCCTGTATCCTATTTCAAGGACATCAATAGGATCATTATCCCCTTTGTAACCAGTAGCTTCATCCAACACCTCTGGATTTTCCCATGTCTAGTAATGAAATATTATTTAATGATACAATATAATTAAACTCTTTAGTAAATTAATTACAGTAGAAAATTTGAATTTGGAATTAACACGTGCAGGAAAGATAATAGTGCCCTTGAACTAAGTTTAAAACTTTACATTAGATATGATAAGACATTGTTCATACAATTCTGAGGAAGAGGCATAGATAAATCTGTCTATTTATATAACTGAATTATGAAATTGCTCATGAGATTCTATGTATCACATTCATAAAATTGATAAGATGAATCATTGTTCTATTGTTCAATATCATAAGACAGGTAATCTGTATGGCATTGTTATATAGATTAACAATCTTTGTACCTGTGGCAAGGCACCATAGTTCCAAATGTATCCATGATGTGGAAAACAGTTGGCAACATATCTTAATTTTCCCTTTTTAATGTCCTGCTTAATAGGGTTCAATGTCTCCTTCAAATTAATCTCCATCTTTGCATTTGTCCATCTTGGTATTTCAACTATCATATTAACTATTTTATTCGCCTCGTCTGCATACAATGGAATGTCATGCATGGGTGAAATCGGACCAGCATTATTTTCTATAATACACATAAGAAATCATGTAATGTACACTCTATGAAAGTGCAGAGCAGAGCATATACTATACATTTCTGTTCAATTTTCAGATTGGAAGGCTTCTGGACGAGCGACGAGGAAATGGGGGAACAAGAGAAACACCTGGGCAGATGGAAATCAAAGATAAACAGAAACGGCAGAATAATTTTTTTACTTGACCCGCACAAGGCGATCGAATACTTTCACTAAAATGAAATGTCACGTTGACATTACATCAGATTGGTTCCAGCTGGAATATCGAAACGCAAACGCGAAAGGGATACAGCGAAAACTTCTACATTGGAACATATTTTTATTATAATGAATGAAAGCGTCAGCGGAAGAACGTTATACGGAATGGAGGAGACTCGGCTACTTGTTATGCAAAAAGAGAACGGTTAAGGTCTAAGGTCAATTGTAGTTGCGTAAAAAAAATGACAGAACGGGTCAACTGATGTTTAGAGTAATGAAGTTCTGCGTAATTATACGAATGGAGGGTTTATTGAAGCGTGGCAGATCGATGCGGCGCAACCAGCGCTAATGAACTCTATACCCACGAGGTTGTAGGCCATAGTTTAGGTTATGTCCTTGCATACTCACTAAAGTAAACCCTGTAATCGGAGCTGTTCAAAGCACCCCTCTCGACCGTTGTGTACGACATGCTTCGAACGAATTTCCTGAACACCGGACACGACCGCGATCCACTGAAAGTACCGGTCGCTGCTAATCTGAGCGGTGCGACCAATTTATTTAAACCTTGGCAACGTAACACGCGCACAGTTATCAACGACATCCTGCCACCTAGCGTCGGTTAACCGAACTGGCAAGTTCAGAATGACCGCGGCGAAGCGCTCTTAAATTTTGCAAGTTGCTTCTTATTCAATTCTAATTGGATACTGCATATTTCAACCGGGGTGATTACATAATCACTGATAAACTGAAAATGACGATGCTCGATGAATGGAAGCTATGTTGGAAGCTCTAAGCGAACTGTTTGTTCAAACAGGACCAAAAATCGTTAATTTTGAATGAATAGATTGCAAAACAAAATAATAAAAATATTATTAATCACACAAAGGTGTAAAGTATGTTACAACAATGCGTACATTATCGTACCGACAACGCAGAGCATACAAATATATGAAACACTTCTTAACTCAAAGTTCCACCGTGAAGTATTCACATAAATTGACGAATATGTGCAGTTTAAACTCTCGCGACGTAGGTAATACTTGTGGCCTTAGGTTTTAGTTCGTATCGAAGAGAGCTGAGAAATTAGGATCTTTACAAGACACTAATTCGTTGATCATTTCATCGCTGAGGTGATGAAGTCGAGGTACTCGGTGACTCTGGCGTAGACGCCAGGGAATCCGGCCTCAGCGCACTTGTAGCCGTAGGAAACAACTCCTATTTGGTAGAACGTGAATTTCTTGGGGTACATCAGTGGTCCTCCGCTGTCGCCCTAAAATCATATACGGATGAATCAATTAGAATGAACGATTAACCAATTAAATATTTCTGTACAGTCGCATCGAACAATTGTCTCACCTGGCAAGCGTCCTTTCCACCCTGAATGTATCCAGCACACAGTACACGATCATCGATCACCGCATTTCTGAATTTGGTGTAGGCTTTCTTGCAATCTTCATTGTTAACTACAGGCAACTGCACTTCCATGAGGTCGTCGGATTTTGGTATCGCTACAGAAACACACGGAGAACGTTATTAGAAACAGTTGCAGACTCTTCGGTGCTTTAACAAATGGAAATACTAACAGGTTGCTAGTGCACCCCATCCAGCGATGAAGGGGAACTTCCGATAGAAATTGCTGCTCCTGTACGGCTCTTCCACCGGAAGACAAATTGGATATATGCGATCTGAAAAGATGATGCACAGTTTTTAGAGAGAGAGGCGATAGTTTTCACGACTGTCTGCTCTAATAATGAATATAACAGGTGAGAAACTAACCAGTGAATTCCACGTCACGCACGAGCTTTAAAACAGCTATGTCGTTTATGAATGCTGAAGTGGAGTATCCGGGGTGTATGATCTTGTCCTCGATATCGACGTCAATTGGATGCGCTCCGTCGTCGTCGCGCACCAAATTCAAATCACCGATGCGAACCGTGTAGATTTCGGAATTCACTGCGCAGTGAGCGGCTGTTAAGACGTGTCTGGATGATATTAGAGATCCGCCACAACGCCATAGGGGTACGGAAGGATTTTGCCTGTTGTAGTACCCTAAGGCGACGATCCAGGGCCACGCACCTGAGATACAAAAAATATTCCGCAATTATGACTGTGTACTGAAAAAGAAAGGGATGGTTATTCTATGTATTTTACTTCTTTTTACAGTTCTATTGATTGCGGAGGGTATAAAGATGTATCACTGTTACGAGTACTTCATTTACCAAGTTCAGCTGGGATACCACCAACCACTTTAGTGTGGCTAGCGTTACTGAAGCCACAGTGTGGTGGTAGCAAAGGTTGGTAACGGTTTTCTTCTTCCACTCTTGGCCCTTTGGTAGGCTCAGGGTTGCTTAGGGGACAGCAGACGATCGGGTTTCCGTTCTCGTTAACGCAAAGTGACCGTCTCAGATAATCACCGGCCGTTAGGCCTTGCTGTTGCAGTAGATTTAACAAGGGCTGGCAACTTCTGATGCCGATGCACTGGCCTATCTCGTTGTTTGGGGTGTTGCATGATTGTCCTACAACTATTCATAGAAAGAATTTAAGTTAGAGTTCGCGTGGATATCCATAGCTTAGCGATTATATAGAAGATTCATCCAAGTTCCCTTTCCTCGATTATTAATTATTACGAAGCCTTGGTTAGATTCTTTAACATATCTTTCGTAAGATATTCATTTGATTTCCTGTTAATGCGACACGACAGTTTGATGAAGATATACGAACGAATGATTAAGGTTGTTTGAGGTCAACGAATACTGAATATGATCGATGGTTCCGACGATAAACATCGAACAAGGAAAGTAACGCTAATCGTATTGAATTCGTTCACTGATTGCCGGCTAACAACCGACATTTATAGCTCGCTATTATTACACGCGTCCGAATGCATTATCCTTTGTTAATTGGTTCGATTGTACAAAGTATAAAGCAACTATATATTCACGGGTAACTCTGTAGATTCATATTGATCTCCCAGAGATAAATAGCAACACGGAATATCCGCGGTCAATCGAGTTTGCGTCGAGAACAACGCGAACCTGGAAACTACTTTGTGGAACGAATTAAAACGCAATCAACGGTGTTGGATGTTTAGATACCCAACGGCTAGTGTTTCGGAATTGACTGACAAGGTATTTTATTTGATGTTAATCATTACAGTCATCCACGCCTTGAACAAGAGAACACTGATTATCGAATATTAACCACGTTCCGCTTATACAATGAGTTAACTCGCTTCTCGGAAAAAAATAACGCGGAAACAAATATATTTGCGGATTACGTAATTGCACGAGTAAAAGATGCCGATCGAATTTGTAGAATTTCCGATTGACATTCACCACTCGTCGCTTGACGCTGAACATACAAGTGTAACCGAGTTGTTGCTAAAAATATTTAGGCGATTCACGTCTGCCCGCAGATTCGTAGTTAGTGAGATCACGAATATACAATCTGTGACTATCAAAAAAACAGCCCAAAGTTGAAGTGGATCTTCAACGATCACTGGATCGCCTAATCTTTCCCAGAACGTTTGACATGTTCGGTTTATCTTACCAGGAAAGTCTGCTGCTGATTTCGGAGCTGCAGAAGATAGAAGCTCTATGATCGGTGGAGTTCACAGTTCAACGAAACGATAAACAAATATCGAAAGATGATTAATTGGCATTATAGGTAATTCCCTATCGAATAAAATTTCCTTATACTTAACGCTTTCCCAACGCGAAGTACGACATACCGAGATTATCGCGCCGGGAATCACTGTCGTTGACTCCCGCTTGACCTCCGTAGCTAGCGAGACTTATATCATCATCCTTTCTCCCAGTTCGGATGCTTTGACCTTGATCAAGTTCGGACGGTCCTACGTCAGAGATTGCTCAACGGTGCAAGTAATGACTAAGTCATGTGGGGCACCCCCTTGGTCATTTCTTGCTCGTTCCCATGACACACATGGGGAATAATCAAGCGTTATCCGCAGACAACAACGTTCGCCTTCATCGTGGATAAGAGTACGTGGAATACAAAGTGGAGAGATGTTCATATAAACTTAACAATGCTACTGTCCTCAACCTGTTCCTTTAAAGAACTTCCGGAAATTTGTATTTTGCAGAAAGATCCGTCCTGCGTGAAGAACTGTGCGATCCGCGGACTTACGTCCGAAGAAAGGATTATGAAGCCGCCTGCGGAATCCTTGCTCAAGCAAGGACGACGCGTCGTAAATTATGGAAATCATAAATCCTAGAGAATCCCCGCAACAGAGCTATTATTATTACCGAGGAAGCAAGTACAATTGCGTCAATTGTGTAGCCGTTAACGTCGTTTAGGATCGAAAGATATGGAACCTCGGGAAACATAGCGTTTACCTGCGAATTCTCGCGATCTGTTAATTAAGTCTCAATGTTCCGCGGATCGCGCTCGAAACGTTTCGATCGCCGAATGCTTTCTTCGTAATCGATATTCTTTTTCTTCACGGTCTGATTCAACCGATATTATATAACAATTTCAAGTTACGCGTCGCTTGTTATCATCTCGCATAACACACGAGGCCTATCCAAACAACGGAGACTCAGAGTTCAAGAAAATGATTACTGTCTCTTAATGAACTGTAATTCGTTGAATAATCAGGTTCTCGATGTTGCTCGAGCGAAGAAAGAAACAAGCAAACCTTCGCCTAGATTCTACCATCATTATACCTTGGATGATTGAAAATGGTCCGCGTTTTTCCGTTGAAAAGTGTAGATGATAATAGCATGACAGAGAAGTGAGAAAAAAGCGATTTCAGGCACAAACCTTGAGCGGACACCATGCCAGCGAATGGATGCAGCAAGGCAATTAACATCAAACACGCAGACAACATCTTGGATCACACCGTTCTCCTGGAACAGAAACGACTATACCAGTTTTGGTTCGCAAGTGCACTGCAGCGTCGACTTCCCGTTCCGTTTCCACGCGAAAAGAACTCGATTGATTCAAAGAAATCACGGTTTCTTTGTCTTAACAACAAAAACATCTCGCACAGACCAATTATTCGGTTCAAACATTCGTCGTTTAATCAAATACGAAAGACAAAGTACGTTTTTCTCTTTAAAGAACGTTAAAAGAATCTCGAGCAACGACGAAACGTCGAAGGAAGTTCGCGCAGGTTTTCGGATCGGTCATCACATAAAAGTTGCTCGTACCGTGAGTTCACCGTGGATTACTGTAACTTCGAAGCCCGATCGATCGACGGGACCGTCTACTTCTGTCAGTGGGACTGACCAGTAGTTGTCAAACCGATTTTCACGAACGTTCCTCCGGCGCGCACCACGGCCGACTGATGGCCGCACGTCCGCGGCATCTAGTTTTATAAAAATATTACAAATCCCGGAGAGCGATCTGCGACGCACGCGCGCTAATTGCCATACGCCAATAGCTCGCTGCATTACGAGTATCTATTACTCACTATTCACCATATTAATCCAAATATTAACAGACCACCTCCATTCTTTCAGCGAACTCTGTATCTCGGATTTTCATCGTTCGGCATGATCTAAAACGAAACCATTTGATCGTATCGATCAATCAAAAACGGGAATTATCATATGCAAATGCAAAGAGGGTAATCAACCGTGAAAAAATACTTTGACGCGGCGCGAAACACGCGATTCATTTGCATTAATAGCTTCCAGAAAGGAAGGCGAGACAGGATATTAATCGAAACTATCATTAGACAATATTATTTTCTAGAATTTTTCACAGAACTGCGATCGTTCACGTTCAAATTGTTACAAAAAAACATTACTCCTCGAATACTAGAAGAACTTTGACGTAGTTTCTTCAATCCCTGGTATTTTTACGCTTTTATTAGTGATGAGTTACGTTTACGAAATATTTCGCGTTTAACGCTGAACGTACTAGAAACTAATCGAATAACTGGCTATAAAGTAAAGATAAACAAGCTAGATGACGTAAGTTAAACGAACGAAAGCGTTAGATTTTCAAGTTCGAACATGCACAGTTCGCCATTTTGCTTTCAATGTAAAAGTTTGTGCGCCTTATCTCGCGGATCGCGGATTAATCATCACTCGTGCAAACAAGGAAGCGTGCGGCCATCGAAATTCGTGGAGACTTCAACGCTCGCGCGACCAGTCCCGGCATTGAGATCACGAAAATCTCACGGAATTCCCTATGAATTTCAACGCGGCCCGTTTTTCGGTATTTCCCCGGCAATTGGGCGTTCCGAATTGTTCGGTACAAGGTCGGATCGGTCATTAAACGGTTTCCACTTACCGTGCGGACGAACGGTGGAATTGATCGCGATGCGTGTCGAGTGACTGTGCGAAATTCGGTAGCTTATTGAATCATTCGCTCTAAAGAGTCTCTAGAATCTAACAACAATCGTGCATCTGAAATAATAAAAACGGCGGCAGCCTTTGTGGCAAACGTATCAAGGCCGCTCGAAGGTCACTCTGATTGGAATCTATTCGTTTCATGAAAGAAGGCAATCATGCTTCGGCATGGTGAATGCCGCTTGTTTCTGATCTTTAACAATATTTTTTCTGATATCAGCCAGTTGAGATATTATTATGGATAAGTGAGAATTAGTCGGTTTAATGACTACGGATGCGTAGTAGCTCTAGCGTTAATGACACAGAAATCGCAGAAATTTGCGATTACTTCTGCCGCCGGTGATTAATGATCTGGAACAATTATCATCAATTCTCTGTACGAGTACGTAAATCAGCATTATTCTTTTTTAACGAAGATCGATTGCTTCGTGCGATACATTAAGGGTGCAGTGATTCATTTGTCTCGAAAAAGTACGACGAAAGATGTAAAACTTATTAAATGATTGCACGACTCGATGCTTCGAATACGAAACGCATGTGACCTCAACCTCATTCTGATGCACATCGTTATTTTCGCGTATCGAACTTAAGTCACCCGTGACTCTGGTATGATTTTTATTGTAAGTACTTTTATTTGAAATTATTTCAATCGTTCAATGATCTGTTTTTGAAACTATACGTGTTCATCACAGAAATGAGTACTTATATGGAGAATATTTGACGATTCAAGAGTGATCATTATTCTTATCGGACTCGTTGATAGAGTTTAATTTGATGTGAACGGTGTATCTGGAAAATCGTTCTATTTAATGAGAGAAAGAAAGACGTGTTGTAATTGCTGTAATAGCAATTTATTTACATTTGATTCATGTATATACATGCGATTATTATACAGTTGGTGTAGAATTATGATAAATTCAATTGGTCTATAATTTGATAAGACATTCCGTTGGCAATGTACATACTGAATTATTTTACATTTTATATTCTAAAATAATACTGTGCATATTCATCTGTTATTTGCCCGTTTATGTAGAGTTGAAATGAGTATTATTCGTGCATAGCATCTTACAGATTTTACATGATATCAACAGCTGAACAATCGTAAAGTGGAGCATTCACTTAGTCAATTCTCAGTTTGGTAATTCTAATCTTCAACTATCGTCAATGTTACGAATATCATACTATAATAGCTAAAAGAATTCAAAGTTCGTGGGAAGTATATTCTGGAGGCTCATAGAAATCCGTATACTTCGGTATACAAACTAATATGATAATCGTTTGTATGTTTAAGTATACGATTCAGAAATTCGTCTGAATTTATCTACTTTCATTATCACAGAAGTTATTATTTTTCTCATTTATATGTGTTCAAAGATATCACGTTTGGCGCTAGACATATGTCACCTACAATGAAAAAGGGATTTCCTAGGCTTAATGTTTCTTCTACTATTCGTGTGGCATAAAGTAACGAACAAATCTGGGAAATGATTTAATCTGGAAAGAAAAACAAAGAAATTAATATTCGGAATTTAAATCTTATTTCATTTTCTGCATGTAAAGAAAGTGAGCCCTGTTTAGAGGTATGAAGCGGAAAAGAAAAAGTTTGAGAACAAATTTTTGTAAATTTACTTGCACATAGGATTTTGAATATCGTGACTTTCATCCCAATGGTATTGTGCTTCCAAATCATCCAGTATTCTTCTAAAAACAAAAGGTTTTGTTATATTTTTTTTTTAGCTATGATATGAAGAAGAGGAGATGTTTTTCAAAAATGCCACAGGAAAGTATTAATCACAAAGAGTCCTTTCTGTAAATATTTGTAACCATATAAATGAGAAAGTGATGTTTTTTCCTAGTTCAAGATATTACTTTTTCATCTTATAATTCAATGTATAATTGAAAGATTTAAAATCTTTGCGAATATTTTATTAAACTATTTAATAATAACTTTCTAATAAAGGCTACTATGAAATTGCACATTTCTCTGCAAGAATTCTAAAAATTTACTATTACTTATGAAATTAGTGGATTAGCACAAAAGATTGTTAGTTATTAACAAGAAAAATCGATACTCTGCTACTAAATATATCGCTATTATTTAATATTTAAAAAGAAAGAAACTGTATTTGTTGGAAATGAAATCAAAAATATCTTTATTTATTCTGTGCAGCGATGCTGTTTCATATTATCTCATCTGTCATTTAAAGTCACTTTTTAACCCATTTGGTTGTAACTACATGTAATATGAAAATGTATGTTTCATCTATTGCTTGTTATTTTTTGTACATATTATCCATCCACTGGATAATATGTCCTGAAAAAATTAAGACATCATATTATATTAATGTACTATATACCCATGCACCTTTTATGATTCACGTTTCAACAACGAAAACTGCATTTTTAGAAACAATGATAAATAATCTTACGTCTTTTTTGCAGTTGGTCTGAAAGAAATGCACCTATTAGAAGCGCATACTTACTTGTAACTTCTTGCTCCCAATCGTCGTTCTCTCATATAAAACCGTACTATCGCTCCAATAATCACGACTAGAGTCATTGAGATGGTGGTAGCTATGGCTTCATTTAACAATACATATCATGTAAATATTATGGATGAATGAGCTAATAACAGTAACTAACATTATCTTTACTTACTTATCATTCTATAAGCAATTACTGTTATATCCTCTTGATGTTTTTTAAGGCACTTAGTTAAATGTGATAAAGTGCCATTTACTACAGGACACTCTAAATCAAGTATCTTACAAAATAGGGGGAATAAATCTGTATTATGAAAAGGCTCCAATTTGCACTTGGGTATAAAGGCTGGACCTTTTGCGAAGAAAAACGGATGCATTTCTGTGATTTCATTATCATAACCATGCAAGCCAAATTCTGAATCACTGTTTACTACAAATAAATATTGCATACAATTTATACAAAATGGATATAAACACATCAAATCTGAATTAATAACCAAAAACTGCTGTGATTACCTGTAATATTAAATTTCTTTTTATAGAATTCTATGGTATCAAGAAGATGTTGAAATGCATATCCCACTTCAGCAATAACAAAAATTGGACCAACTCGTGTATTATTTCCATAATGATACTTTTGAGGAATCTCCTCTCTTTTATAAACTGTAAATGTCTTTGTTTTCTCAGATGCTTGTTTCAATAATTGGTAAATGAGATCTTCTTTGCCTAAAAGCCAGAATGATTTTTATTAGTTTATGCCAATATATATCATTTAACTAGTTTTAAAATATTTTGAATGTAGCTAATCAACAAATATAAGAAATCAATGTACCAGGATTAGGAAAGATGTGTAAGCCTGGTGAAGTACCCACAAATTTATAGTCAGAACTATTAATATACTTTGTCAAATCTATAATTCTATTCAGTTTAACAGATGCCATTCCATGATCGCTCAAATGCACAACATTGAGATCGTGCAAATTATGCTGTCCTATTTTATAGTGCAAATATTTAGTTATATTGTCTAATTTCCTCAGAATATTATTGAACTCAAGACCACTTATTCCAAATGCATGACCATGATAGTCTGGTTCTTCAATGTATAATATACCAAAGTTTATTGGGCGTATGGGATGATCAAACCATGATATTAAAGTGTCTATTCTTTCCTCCCAAGGTATAGTGTCATTAAAATTCTAAACAGAAATAAGAGAGTATTTGAACTACAAACTAATTTAAAACAAATAAAAATAACGCAACCAATTTTAATAAGAAGTATACCTGTGCAAATGTAGGTGAAGTTCCTTGATATTCATAAATCCCACCTGGCCACATCATTGTGCCACTTCGTCTTTGGGCTCCTCCCTTTTCATTAACAGTCTATCACAAAGAACAATGTATAAATTATAGAAAAGAAAAACATAGGGTATCTCTATTATTTCTTACATACCCAAATAGGAAGAATTCTATTGTCATAATGATATAGTTTAGAAGAGTATTTAGTCGTATTCCCTGAAATTGGATCATAAAATTCATTGTCCACTACACCATGTGTTTCTGCATATAATCCTGTGGCCATTGTATGATGATTAGGAAATGTTTTTGTAACAAAAATGTTCATTATATAATCTGCATGGGTGCTTTCGTGTTTTAATTTATTCATAAATGGTGTCAGATTTCTATTAAAGTAGTCATATCTACAAAGCATAAAACAGGTTAACAAAAAGTGTTATTAACATGCAGTTTACAATCATAGCACATTAGAATATCTTACCTGAAAGCATCGTATGACACTACCAGCAACTTTGGATGTTGTGATATCAACAATCCATTTTTTGCATTAAGTAAAATAATAAATATTGAAATAAATTTAATTACAGAATTCATAGTGCTAATATTGTTTTTAAAATACTTGATAATGGACAAAGAATGGCACTACTTCGTTTAAGGAACAATTATTCCACGATGTTTTCCATGATTATAAAACTCTCTCGCAAATCTCATGTCATTTATATTTTACAATAAAAATTCTTTTGTTGGCGATAACTTTGATATCACAATTTATTCTCTTCCGCTTATCAGAAATTTTTTTTCTCTAAACAAACTTATCACACCACGCACGTAAGAGCATTGTTTTCTGTTAAGGTTGTAATAAATTCACCACGTTACTATCTCCCAGCTGTTAGTCTAATGCGATAACAATTAGAAGTTCGCCAATCCTCTTCTAATACATTTTGCCAAATGTTCAGCTATTTCTCATGAACCATAGAATCAAAGAGAAATGACAACAACTCTTTCAAACGTGGAAGTAACAGAATTTACAAAGTGCATCGCGTCCAATGAATGAACTCGACTGAATCAAGTGCATTAAAAAGAAAAGCCAATGAAACAAATTTATCTAAATACTGTCTGACGTCACAGCTTATCGGTCGATAAGTTTCGACTTCCTAGACGATAACCAGTTACAGTTAATTATTCATAGTTAAAACTTAGTTACTGCAATTTATCTTCTATGTTCGGTATTGCATTATTACGAGATCTCCTGCATTGTAATGCAGTTGCTGTGCTCTCAATAAAATACTTAACAAAAATTCGTTTTTATTCGGTAGAAACAAAACGATCGTTAACTTATTAATATTTAAATTATTTTGTTAAATTCATATTAATTCAAAATACTTGTTTACTTCAAAATATATTTGGAGATATTAAGAACATCGAATAAATTCTTTCAAATATAGTCAACGTTATACAATTATAAGTATCAGGATTAACAGCAATAATATATTAAGATAAAAATGTCAAGAATAGGATATTCTGATGTTTCGTAGAAGAAAGAAATAGTACTTGGAAATACTATACAAGGGTGCTAAATCGGTGCTCACTCTAGTGACACTCCCCTCACGAGAAGTTACTTATCAGTTACCATTCTTACTTTTACCTATATACATTGAACACTACATAGAACTACACACTGCAGCTTAGAGAATTCCTTGAGTAGGGGTAGTGGGGAACACTCTTCCGAGTTACTAGCGTGAGGGGATTAAGTTACTAGACACCCCTATGTACATATTTTGCTTTTTGTGACATAAAGGTTGGCAAGCTTGTGTTTGACGCAAGCGTGCGTGAACTGCAGCAAGTAAGGGATGCATGCGATGCACTGTCCAACTGACAGCCGCTGGTATTCGAAAGCAATGAGTCGTGTTTGATATTTGCTTAACTTTCTGTCGAGGCCCGCCCTTCTTTCCTATTATCCTTTAATCACTACGTGGAATTAAATAGTGATCTCTGAACGCCTATATCAGTTAGATGACGGCGATACGCCGTGTGTTAACAGGTCATGGGGGCCTGTTTCGGCCGCTGCATTTCCAAAGTTACAGACTCCTTGTCGTACAGGTTAGATATACGCCTTCTACATCCTCGAATGAAAATATTTCACAAGAATATTCGGAATATTCTCCTGCACGTTTCGTTCTCTTATTTCTCACAGAAATTTCATATCGAATTCTTCATATTTCTTAGTTATTTTATGATGCAGAATTTGTTTAAATTTCAAGGTTTTACCAAAGGCACACCAGTATGTCCTTCCAAGGAGACGAACAAGTTGAGGTATACATTTCACATTGGAAATAATGAATTTCATTTCTTTTTGTTTATGAACATATTGAAAAATAATGAGCCTTCGTTGTAGTTTATAGATGACAAAGGAGATGTGGATCAATCTAGAGGATCAAAAACGTAAGGAATTGTACTTAGCTATAGGGCAATGTTATATTCTTCTATTGTATTAATTATACGCTTCATTGTTATGCTTCCTGGATAGCCTGTTATCGTTTCTCTCCTTAAATCGATTCAAGGTAATTGGATTAGACTATCAGCATTTTTGTGTATTATACTGAGCATTGTAAGTCTATGTTTTTAATTTGTTATTTATTTTGTTAGTTTTACATAAGAGTATTTAATGGTAGAGTTGAAAACATTACATTAAGCTCGTGTAACTTTAGACTTTAAGGTTTAATTCACTGAAGATTGCTTAATAAGACCTGCAATATATTTGTAGAAAAAACATGGAGTCCCTGTGACATTAGAATTATTGGAAGATGGGGGATGGTCGAAGGGTACTAAAAAATATGCCAGATTACATTCTAGGAATAATGCTTCAACAAGGTATTTACCAGGATTTGTGTGTATTATCTCTCATTGAAAAGATAAGAGTAAGGTACAAATAATTTTATAATAACTTTTTAATTCTTAGTTCTGGGCTTGATACTCCACTTCAACTTCTTGATGCAAGAACATTAATGAAACAACAAGCATGCGTTTCTTCTACTCCTGGGTCCTCTTTGGACTTAGAATGGGAGCACGAAGGTAAAGGGATACAGCTAAACTTCCTGCTGGTTTAATAAATTTCTTACGATTCTACATAATTATTTAGATTTACGTATGACATGGAGTACATAAGTTTTTTTTACTTAGGTTTACCTCTACCAGTTATGGAGGATGAAAACGTCGAAAGTAACGACGGTTCTATAACTCAAACATCAGTTCACAATAGTCAACCCTCTAGCTTGACAGCATCTCCTTGGTCTAGAGTGTCCACACCAAATAGTTTAGAATGGGATCCGGTAGAAGCGGATATGGTATGTGTTGATTTAGAGACTGAGCAGCTTTTGACTGAAATAGAAAGATTAACGGACAGAGCGTTAAAAGAGACAGGCGAATGGACTAGTACTAGCTGATAAATAATGTAATTACAATTACACAGGATTGTTTGTATTTTTGTATTATAGAAAAAGGGTACATAATGGAATTTAAAAGAAAAAGAAATACGGAACACTTTTAGAAAGTGAAAAGAGGATTTTACTGTTTCACTATTTAGTATTGGAATAATATAAAAATATATTTGTATTGTTTCAAAAGACATACATATACTTGTATAATTCAATATAATTAAGACAAAATTTTAATTGAAAGGTATCGTATGGGGAATACCTTTTACAAGTTTATTAACAAGTGAAGACAATGCCAATGATTCAATTGAGATAACATTTTTTATATTATTGCATATGTACATAGGTATTACACACTCGAACATTCTAAGTATGATGCATTCATTTACGTCCTCTTCTTTTTCTTACTGTGCAATAATTGTATTTTCACAAGGAGTTTTACTACTATTACAGTTTTTATTCTTATTTTATATGACTTCCGCGGGACAATAACTTTCTTCCTGTTAACAATTTTCACGTTTTCCTATATTAATTTTAATAATCGTCTATACCTCTTTCTATAGATGCAAGTTTTACATTTGAAATTTCTGTATTGTGAACGACACTGATCTCATCTTTGTTTTGTACAAACATTGTCGTCTAGTATCATAACACATCGCTTCAATCGTTTGAAGCATGCATAGCTGAAGAGGTCGTGACAGTTTCTTTTATTTTTCTTTATTGAGCAAATTTCCTGTGGAAATAGTAAAGAGAAATTAAATTTCGTGCTTCAAACGGTTAAGGAATGCATATCATGTATGCAATGATATAAATCTCTACGTTTGACGAAATTTGTAATTCATGATTTGAATTAGATAGGAAAAAGGGGAATGGAATAAAAAGGCAGAAATGAAAATTAAAATGCATCAGGTGCTATCAATGCAATATATTTTTTGCGGTCGAAATTAAAAGCGGCTTATTCCGGGAACGATTTATTTCGGAGCGTAGTATATCTTAAATTAACCATATTTTATACAAGATAAAGGCTACCTTACAGTCCTTTAAATAGTCTAGTCACAGTGAAATCTCGTGAGTTTGTGGAAGATTGGAATGTAAGAAAGAGTACGGCGGTGCTGATGGAATATTAATGTTGATACGTGTTTGTGTGTACAAAACCTGTTTCTACTGTGGTTAAATTATTACAAATAATTAGGTTACAATCTTAGATAGACCGTCGATCATTGAGGTGAAAGAACTTTAAAGACCGAAACGTAGGCTGCCTTACAATCAGGGATCGTAACCGTTGTTCATTTCAAATCGAAAGCCAAGTAACTCATTTCCCAAATGTAAAAGATACGACTTCTATTCTGAGTCAATGCTATGCCACTAATTCAGTTATTATCTTCCTTCATGGGAATCACGATTAATTGCTATCGTTCGTTTCTTCTTGGTCACCGTCTTCGAGCATTTATCTAATGTGACTTACGGTTAAGATCCCTGTTTACAATAGTTAAAAGAAAAAAAAGATATAAAACTTGTAATTGTTAAACACGCCACGTTAAATCTTGATTGCATCGTATTTGGGAGTATGCTGCGTTATAATTGCGTAATTAAATTTAAGATATTCAGCTTATGACTAATTTATGAACGAATCAAAATATATGCAACAATAGCGCGATTTGTAGCGGACGTTAATGGTATTGAGAATAATGGTAATGCGATGCATTATGCTAATAATACAGTGCCATGACTGTGTTTGCGTTCATTAGATTCCGTCTCTCATAATTAGCTTACTTTACACCCGGTCGTTTCCGTGCAATCGTTTATCAAGTTACCAAAAACGAAACGTTTCACTTGAATTGCATAATAAACGCACAGGAATGTTATTTGTGCAAAATGTATGTGGCTTAACATAGAATACCTAAGTTGTTAATCATTAAGTCTGCAATGTGTCTCAAGTGAATAACGTCGAAGGTACTGTTCATTATTGAAGGGATTGAAAAGGTGCTTACAACAACATAAAAGAATAAATATATTAACGCTTGCAGTCTGTTTTTATGTATTGAAGTTAAAATGATAAACGCGATATTTATATTAGAGTTGATACGTTGATGATTCTAATATTATCTAAACAGAATTGGAATTTATCGAATTCCCTTTTAAAATGTCGTTTATGCATTTTAATTTAGAAGAAGGAAAAAAAAGGAAATGCATCTTCACAGTTATTTTCAATAAGTTGCCTAGAAAACATTTAAGTTAATTATAGTATTTCCTCAGTCAGTATTCATACCAAAAAATATGTTTGCTTTTCCAAAATTTTACGTGCTCTAAGATAATAGGGACCAAAAAAGTGTTTTCAGTATTAAGTCTCGTCGTGGCTATTACTTTGTACCATAATATTACTTTTGTGTGGGTTGCATTTATGTGTACTACTTCGCTTGATTCACCAGATATTTTTAATTAAGTTCGGTACGCGATTGCTACTGTACGAATAAGTAAATTGTAAGGATAATTTTAAGTTATCGTGTCGACCTTGAAATTGTAAACAAAATTTATCATTGTTGGCTTTAAGAATGTCTTTATCTGCGCCTAGTATTAGTGATCTAAATGATATTGTTTATATTTTATGAACGGACATTTCATTGTCACTGTGAGTTCACGATGTGTGAAAGAAACAAATAACATTATGCATCATTTGCTTTATGCATTAAATACACTTATTACCATTGTATCAGTATTTTATTTAGCTACAATTTTTGTGTACAATCGTGATAATAAATGTCGTGATCTTTATTTACCATTTATATCTGTGTTGAAAAAAGGATTTCCGAATCCGTAAAATATTTTACATCTATACACAGACTTCAGAATTAAATTTAATGAACGAGTTATCAATTCAAGAATGACAAAAGATAGAAATCATTTCAGATTTAACTACGTGTTAACCGAAAAAGAAGAAGAAAAAGGATAAAATAATGCAAGCAAGGTAAGTTACTGCTCCATATGGTCCCATAACGTTGATATTGAAATAATAGAGTTACCGGTATCATATTTGTACACACTATAAATACACATATTTTTTCAACTCATGTATTTTTTTTACTTTTCATGTGCACATTTTTGCGAAGTACAACATAATAATTTGTGTAACTTATCTTAAATTTTTATAAGTTATATACAGTTCGCTTAACATTCGAATTATCTACATTTATATAAACAATAAAAGCAAAAGAAAAACATGTAACTCTAATCGGAAATCATAGCAATATAGGATTAAAGTATATTTTGGCAAAATCTTCAGCTTTTTTATAAAATAGATTAATTTAAATATATTTGCTAAATTTTTTTACAAACATAGCATAATTGTTTTTATGTAACGATTTGTAGAGTATTATAAAAGTGTTAGAACACAATTCAAGTATATGTACGTATAAATGCAAAATTGTTTTCGTTTACATACTAAGGATCAATATTGCAGGAATACATTATCATTTATTCAAATACTAAAAGAAATCTTGAAGACTAGTAAATACAGCCAATGAAAGAACGTATCGTCGTAACTAAGATTTAGAGGCTTTGTGGAGCTTAATGTCTAGCAAAACCAACGTGATTTTTAGTTTCTTTTAAGTTCTTTTGTAGCAATCAAGTAGATATGTACTAAGATGGATATATCGGTGCAGTCATATCTCTGCCATATATACGGTGTTTTTATGGGAACCAGATTATCTCTAGCATGTATAAATCTGTCACATGTTCCTAAGTTTAAAAATGCTATCCATAAAATGTATATAAAATTTACTTCGTTTCGTTAACATACTTACAAGTATAACGTTTGTTACATTTAGAATAATTTAAACAAGAAATAGTCGCCGCAGAACAAGTAGAATTATCGCTGACACTAGAGAAGCAATCAGAATGCTCCAAAACAAATCATTAGACGATGACATAGTTTCTACTTGTTGATTTACTATGACCTCCGATTGTTGCCGTTCTTGATTCTCGGTAGAAGTCGATTCGACGTTGCGTTGCCTTAGTTCGTTTTCTGAAGTACTACCTGTGGTGGTCATGAAACTTGTATCTGATGTGGGTGAATCATCAGCCTAAAATCACGGTCTCTTGAGAAGTTTGTAAGTGATTACAAAAATCTACACACAATGCCATTGTAAATTCACCTTTAATGCAATTGTATCTAACATTGTCTGTTCTTCTTCGGTGATGGGCTTTTTCACTTTAGTTTTTGACAATAAATTCACCACCTTTCCACAAGTCTCACATTGCCAGTTTAGTGACCTACAAAGCAATGCCAAATAAAACAATGTACTAAGTAAATTATAAACACCAGATAAGCACATCTATATTATGTTTATGTGGAAACAATTGCATAAATTACTTTTTTGCTAGCTTCTGTCTTTCTTCTTTACTATAATCTAAAGAACCGATTGTCCCATTTCCTGGTGTTGGCATAAAAGCAATCAAAGCCAACAGAGCTGTTCTGATACTCCAAGAGGGCTGCCATGTTTCTGGGTGATGTCCAGAAATACTGAGACAGATCTTCTTGTTAATTTCAAAACGGCCATTTGGCTGAAATCAATTGACATTCTTAATAAAGACACCGAAAGACACATGAATGATGGATTTGAAATAAAAATTACTCACTGTTAATAATATAATATTTGGTGGTTTCATTGGATATTCAGGTGGCAACAAGATTCTGCCGTGATACACTCCACCTTCAAAATCTGTAGAGGGTGGTCCTTGAACTGTGAAATGCCATTCGAAAAGATTATCCTCCAAAGGTGAAGCACAGTATTCTTCTGTCGCCTCATGGAGTTCTTGTGCTTCCCTCATTAACCTTTTCACCGCTGTAAATTGAATATTCAAATAAGAAACGCTTTGCAAGTTATTGATTCCTGGTCACTGAATACATCAAATCATTAATCATTTTGTTACAAAGCAGTGATGAGGTTAATTGACACTATATAATTCAAGGACAATCCAAGTACTATAAATATATCCAAAGCAAACCCGACTGGGTACTAAACAACAAAAATTTATGGCACCTAAAAGAATGACCAGGACATCATCGATGACACGTATTGCAAGATAACGCGGTGTTAACTCCGATAAATTACACCGATGGAAAAATCAACGAAAAGATGAAGAAATAACGGCGCTACCGATTAACGAGCGCGTCGATTCTGGTTTTCCGTGGAGATCTTACCGGGGCTTTTAGCGTTGTATTTCCCTTCGAATGACATTTTCAGGAGCTAGACTCGGGCGCAGGTTAAAAACTGAAATAAAAATAGCACTGCTATCTTTCTTGTCAGATGGCTTCGATGCAACGACGTAGCCAGTCGCTGTTGTGCATTCTTCACATTTTTCTGCTCACCACTGCGCCCCGATCCGTCCAAAACGGAATTATGTAGACGTTGCCCGGACCCAACGGCGACGAATACTCAATTTTGACGTGGCTGAACGGCAGCGGCGACTCGCGATTAGCGCAAAAAATAACGTGAAAGTGACCACGCTTATCGCGTGCACGCGCGGGCGCACAACTCTATTCCGGCCTTTTCAACTTTCCTTGCAACTTGAATCGGACAGTTAGGATAGTTTCATCCACATTCTGAGAATCGTCAATTGAAAAGGACAGTTGCAATCTAAATCGCTAAATCCACTAGTCTATACCGCGTCTCAATCGCGACTGTTCGTATCGCGAGAAACCCAGCAGAAAAACGCACACTTATTTTTTATATAAATGCCGGCGTTTCCAATTAACATTTAATTACTTAATAAGTAATTAGAAATCTGCTGAAACGATTGTCGACGCCATCTGTCGGGGACAGCTGTAACTTGTTAACGCAGTTACCAGCATTTTGCAATACCGACTGTTAGTGGTGAATAGTTTGGCCATTTCACCGAAGATGGCGCCGACAGTTTTTTCTATCGATTTACCATAAGTTGAAAAATTAATAAAATACCTTAAAAATATTCATATCTGACACTCAATTAAATGGCAAGAAGGTTAAGGATCATATCTATAAGTCGTGTTCTGACTAATTGTTACAGTGGCTCAGTTTCGGCACGATTTTATTATTGACCGAGTTACCGGTCGAAAAAAACTGATTCTAATTGGCTAGAAGTTTGAGTGGTTTTGCACTAGGCGGCGCCACCGATGGAGGAGGCGGGATTTTTTAAAATCATTTTCTTAAATTACCTTCACAGGTTTTTAATAGATTAGGCACGACTGTTCCGTGTTATTAATGAAATATTCAATAAATATTTAACAATAAACAATTAATTATAACACTCAGATTGATTACATAAAGAAAGCATTTAACTCTGTTCCGAATTCTGAAGAGGAAAAACGAAATTCTAGAATCAACATTCCTGCAGTTCCTGCTTCGTCGTTCTTCCCATCTCACTAGAGACCCCTCGAACCCCCAAGAGATGCAACTCGGGTATCAAAAACGAGCTGTCTGAAATCTCTCGGGGGGTTCTAAGACCCCTTGTCAGTTTAAAGAGGTTCTTCGAGGGGGTCTTAGAACCCCCCCAGAAATCTCTCGGGGGGTTCGAGGGGTCTCTTGTCAGTTTTAAAGAGGTTCTACGAGGGGGTCTTAGAACCCCCCAGAAATCTCTCGG